ATTCTATTACCTACTTCATCTACATTTGAATACAAAATTACTTAAATCAGTGATAGAAAGCATTCTTCAATAGGTGAGAGTGAAGTGATTATTCTCCTTTTAAATTAGTCCAATTGAATTTAACATTACAGAGTTTTATCTTATTCTTATAATCATAGGTATGTTTCCTTCAGACTCAAATTTAAGATCAAACTGCCCTATAGATAGCTAATCATATCATATTATAAGATTTTCTTAATTTGTGCACAGCAATTTAAAATAATCACAGTGATAAAGTTAGATATTTTTGAATTATGAATATAATATTTGAGTGAATTTATCACTGTCTTTGAAAAACTTTATTAATATAATGTACTCATTACATAAATTGTTAGTATTTCTGTTAAAAATCCAACCATTAAAAATATACAAGAAAAATCAGATGTTTCAAAATAGTATTTGCAATCATATTAATAATGAGATATACATTAAAAAGATTATATATAGCAATTAAAAAGATATATATAGCAATATTGGTAAGAATAACTAAATCTTTAAATACACAAGTGTTTTTTAAAAAATAGACTGTACATTTATTTTCAAAATAAGTTGTTTTCATAATTTTCTTTACATAAAAATCATTCATTGGGCATCAAAAATCCAAATATTTACATTTTGAGTTGAAAAGAGAGGTCAAATATGTTTGCAATTCATCAAAATTATGCTCCCTTCAAACATATTTCCAGGCTATTCTCACCTTAAAATGGCTGTGGGTTCTTTGGTTACAAGTAACAGCCACAGACTTCCTCACTTCATTTAGGACTCAGATCTCAGATAGAGAATTTAAGTGCCTTAGGTTCTGTAACGTGCTCATCACCATGCTAAGAACATACCACTAGCTCATTGCTAAGAGAAGACAGGTATGTTGATTAATAGTACTAACGAGACTGCCCACAAGGAAAGAGCAGAAATTTTCACCCCAAAAAGGAAAATGGATGTTGAATATAAAGTCCTCACAAAGTCCCTCTGAGAATCAGCCCTGTTTCCAAAATACATTTTTAAATCTATTGTTTGGAGGAGTAGATAATGAATGGTTTCTTGAACTTTGAGCAAGGACTTCAACAGAATCAGGTTCAGAGCTCTAGAAACAGTAATTTCCAGGAAACCTGCTGCTTTCTAAATTCTGGTTTTTCTCTCACTGTGTGAATATGGACCACATAATACTCAGAATGAACCTCAATTTTTTTATCTATAAAATGGAGATGTAAAAACTTTCCCATTTCTGTCACTCAGTTCTGGTGGTGATAACATAACATTTCTAAAAAAAGTACTATGGAAAGTAAAAAAGACTATACTAACATAAATATATAAGGAATAAAGGAGTTACATCTAGAGAGAAAGCTAGGAAAGACAAATAGTTCAATCCATTCTTCTTTTAATCACTGAAATATATTAATAGTTTGGACACTAAAGAGAAAGATGTGATCCTTGTTTTAATTCGTGGGTCATCAGGAAACCAAAGATTAAGGTTCATCTATCTTAAAGGCAAAATTTACAGACTTATATTCATTCAAGTTTATTTTTCTCATTCTGAGAATCAGG